AAAAGTTTTTCCATTGGAAAATGCATTTTGTGATAATGATTGTATTTTATTTAGCTTTATCCAGGAATGTTTTACATGCCTTTTGGAGCAAATCAACTGGTAAGTCCATATTCTATAAAAAGTATTGTTTTTAATTAAATTTTATCTTAAGAGCTACAATTATAAAATCTAGGTCTCACACAAGAGATTCCAAATAAACATTCTCTGAACGCCTACATTAGTAACTGAAATATTAAGGAGGCAAGTTTCCTATTTGGATAATCTTGGCTACACACACACACACACACACACACACGCACACAAGGGTATTAAAGAAAAAATAAATTTTAGATCTGAATTATCCAAGTTGACTATGTTTATTCCATAATGACTCACCTCTCCACTTTACCTCTGTACACAGCATTAATATTAAGGTTTAAGTGAAAACTAAATAACTTTTAACTTTGTCTTGAGTAGATAAGAAGGTAGCTGCTTCGTACTTTGATGCAATATTTCTTTTTGAACAGAATGCCCCTGCCAGACTTGGCATCATGAGTTCAGAAGAAATGGCAGTGAGTAATGTCTTCTAACTCTTCTTAAAATAGTGGCCAGGGAAGAACAGTCACTTATGACTGGCTGCAAGAGACGTCTGCCATGAATGTCACCAAATGAGCATGGGACTCAGATTTTTCCACTCCAAAAACTAAGCTTAAGTCTGAAGCAGTATCCAAAGATTTCATCATGTTTCCTATGTAGTCTTTCATTTCTGGGTGATAACTATTCTTGAGCATAGAGTTTTGCCCATTGCTTGTAGATGAACAGAGGAGAAACCTCCACTTGAAAGGCCGTCGTTGAACTATAAACACTTCAAACCAAAAAGATACATGTGGTTCATACAGAGTTCTTGTTCTTTCTCGGACCATTTGGTCCCTCAAAACATCAAATTCAACAGCATTACAAGTACTTCAGATCTCAAAATTGAAAGATCAAAAAGCAAAAGAAAACCAAGTTTAAAATGTGATTATTTTAAATGTCAACGTGCATTGTCAATGAGCATATACTAGTATTATGTTATCATTATCCATGCAAGTTTAGGATTTGAGATCAATAAAGTCGTACAACTCTTTTCCTAAGAAATTTTTTATCTGTTACATTTGTTAGAGCACAAGGCAAGACAAACAAAAGCTATATTGAATTAACAAATCATTGTCAACTACAGATTCTTTCGAGTTAACAAACACACATATTATCTGTGAAAGAAAAATTACATATCAGTATTTTTGTGTGCCTTCCATGTGCCACACACATAGGAAAATACTATAAACAAAACAAGGTAAGATTCTTGTTTTCGGCTGGGCGCAGTGGCCACGCCTATAATCCCAGCACTTTGGGAGGTCAAGGCAGGTGGATCACCTGAGATCAGGAGTTTGAGACCAGCCTGGCCAACATGGTAAAACCCCGTCTCCACTAAAAATAGAAAAATCAGCCGGGTTTAGGGGCGCAAGCCTGTAGTTGCAGCTACTCAGGAGGCTGAGGCAGGAGAGTCACTCGAGCCTGGAAGGCAGAGGTTTCAATGAGCTGAGATCACGCCGCTGCACTCCAGCCTAGGCAACAGAGCAAGACCCTGCTAAAAAAAAAAAAAAAAAAAAAAAAAAAAAAAATCTTGTTTTCAAGGAACTTACAGTCTAATGAATGGAAAAGATAGGTACAAGGGCAGATATCTAATGTCAAAATCGTGGGATAAAAGCAATAACAGTTTTATTACAGAGAAAGAGTCAGAGAGGAAGGGCAGTTAGCCCAGTCCAGGGATTCACAGTATCATCCCTGGAGGAGATGATGTGAAAGAATGAAGAGTCAGGAGAAAGGAGAAGGAAAGAGTATTGTATCTATATAACACCAATACAAGTCACTGGAAGTTCAAAATTCAAGTAAGTGTTAATTGCCATCATATAATATTAATTATTTCTATTCTGCCTCATTCCCAAAAGATTTTGCAGAGCTTATGAAAAACACACAATAAATATAACGAAAAAGTTGAAGGTAGGATTTAAAATGAGTCATAATTTCAAGAAAATCAGAATACAGATATGCAAGTCACACAGTCCTGCTCAATTGCTACAAACAGCCTAAGATTTTGGACCCCATATTTCTGGCAGCAAAGGTAGAAAAAGAAACATGGTCAGTTCTGGAATTCTGTTTGTCCACAGGAAGAAAATATTTTAGTTACTCCATAGAAGCCAAATTTTTTTTCTTAAACTTTGTGCTTTAAAAAAATTTAAGTCTTAGCTGGGTGCAGTGTCTCGCCCCTGTAATCCCAGCTACTAGGGAAGCTGAGGCAGGAAGATCACTTGAGCCTAGGAGTTCTGGACCAGTAGCCTGGGCCATATAATGAGGCCCCTAAAAGAAAAAAAAAAAAAAAAAAACGTACATGGAACTTCATTTGGGGTACACTGAAAAATGCCATTGACAAGATTCTCCCTCAACAAATGCAGTTATGAGTTTCAGTTCTTATTTGTTTTGTGATGGTAGTACTCACTTCAACTACTCGTTTTCTTAAAATTAAATTCAAACTCACTTTGCCTCAAGTCTTGCTTCTGCCCTGTTATCTCCCTCTTGTGGAGATCACGCCAAGATCCACCCAGATAAGTGCAGAATCCTCTTCATTATGTTTCAAAGCCAGTTTAGTGAGAAATGAGCTTACACAAAGCTATCAGCCAACTTCCTATCCTCTACCAGTTTTTTAGAGATCCTTGGTGAATGTGACCAGGTAGAGTTGCATGGTATAGTTAATAGCATGTGATAATGGCATCTTTAACGAATGTCTTTTTTCCAGGGCGGGAGAGGAGACCCAATGGCCTATGGAGCCATATTTCCAGGATTTGGAGGCATGAGGTCCAGCTTGGGGGGAATGCCCCACAAGCCAGCTATGGGCGGTGACTTCACTCTGGAATTTGACTCCCCAGTGGCTGCGACCAAAGGCCCTGAGAAGGGAGAAGGAGGTGCACAAGGCTCCCCTATGCCGGAGGCCAACCCAGACGATCCAGAAAACCCAGCTTTCCTTGCAGAGCTAGAATCTGTTGCCCATGCAGGACTCCTTGCTCTCCCTAAGGATGATGTTCCCAGCCTGCCAAGGAGCCCTTCAGGGAAGATGAAGGGACTCCCCAGCGTCACTCCAGCAGGTGCTGACCCACTGATGACCCCTGAATTAGCTGATGTTTATAGGACCTACGATGCTGACATGACCACATCCGTGGATTTCCAGGATGAAGTAACCATGGATACCACAATGGCCCCAAACTCTCTGCAAACATCCATGCCAGGAAACAGAGCCCAGGAGCCCGAGATGATGTATGATGCGTGGCATTTCCAAGAGCCCTGACAGCTCTAAGATATTAGCTACTTTCTGTATGCACAAGCTTCCCAGCTTTGTCCCCACAGTGTACCTTTTTGCTAAAACACTTATTACCCTTCTGCAGCAAAGGCATTAAAAGCGCTAAGCATATATTAATAAATACAAGTGGCTAGAAGTAGTGTAGGTCCCCTTCTTGCTTTCAATATCTTGTTGAAATAAAATCTGTCAATTGTCTCTGTGATTTAGAAACACTATTAATAACATCAGAGCAAGGGTCTAAGGGTCTCAGCATTTAATCATCACTTTTTCTTAGCTGTCTTAAGCATTACAGAATTTCTCTTACTAGCATGACACTATTATATTCAGGAAATGTGGCACTGCTTTTTTCTCTAAGTAAAGGCAAATATCCTCATAATTCTAAGCTAATTCATTTAAACTTTATTAAATGGGGATTGGTGGAAAACTCCTGACTGGTATTACTGGGTTTGGTATAATTGAATTTAAAAGTCTCATTTATAGAGTATTTTATTTAATCTAGTATAAAAAATCTAGCCTATTTTAAATAAAGAATTTTTCTCACTGAAGTTTTCAGGAATTGTATGCTTATTATTTATATATATTTAAATGGTTCAAGAAAAGCATACTCATCCTCTACCTTTGCTACTCTTTAACTCATTGTATTCAATTCATTCATTCTTTCATCAGAACTTTACTGAATATTCATGTCCTGGGTGCAGTGCAAGGTATCAGAGATATAGTCCCTTCCTTCAAAGCTTACGATGAACATGACTGACAAGTAGACAATCACCATAACAAAACCCTAGACCAAGCTCAATTACTTTACATGTATTATCCCACAACAATAATGTAAAATAGATACACTCAACCCACAGCACACATGAAAAGTGCTATGAAAAGGCCAAGCACAGGGTGCCCCTGGAGCCACAGAGAAGAGGTACCTAACCCAGCCTGAGGGGCATCGGAGGGTCTAGGAGGAATCAGACAAGTTGTCTCAGAACAGTTTCTAGAAACGATTTCAAGAGTGAGAGGTCTCACTCTCCAAGAGGAAGAAACAGAAAAAGAGCCATGTGGGTGTCATGTGAGAATTAGCTCATTCCTGTGAAATATAATGTGGGAAAGGGGGATGCAGAAAATGACCCTTGCTTGTCACCAGGGCTAGGTGTGTATCGAGCAGAGCTATACACCTAAATTAAAGGGCTCCCAGCCCAGATTTGGTCACTCCTACAAAGTAGCTCCTACCCCCTTCTCTTCACCTTCTCCTAAGTGACTCAACCCAGGTCTTCGACTCAATGACACTCAGACTTCTCTCCATCCATTGATGGAGATTCTGTAGATGCAACCCAGGAAAAAGAGCCCTGAGATGCCTCCCAACCTGGGGTACTTCAGGAGCCTTACCAGGAGCATGTAGCTGCCACCTATTGCCTCCCTCTCTTCAAGCAGGGTTCTGCTCATCCTCACTCCATTGACTGCAGCTGAAAGAGAGATACAGAAGAAAAATTTCAGTTTGCCTCCCCGAGTGTCCCTGGCAAAGGTGCGAGGGTAGAATGACCTTCACAGTAGCCAGAAGATACCCACTGAGATCTATCTTAGCATCGCAGACAGTTTCCTAAAAAGCAACATGGTACAATACATATAAACAGATCTGCGTTCAAACTTCGGTATCACATCTTATTATCCATGAGACTTTCGATGTGAAACTTAATCTCTCTGCGCCTGTGTCTTCATTTCTGTAATGGGGCTATGACCTAGCATGGAGAGTTGTTATGAGAATGAAATGAGATAAAGCTCACAGATGAAATTGCTGAATCATAACAGTTTCCTTCTTTTCCAACTGATCCTTTTGGTAAAGAGAATTAAGCAAAATAGCAGCAGCAACAGTGGAAGAATGGAATTGTTCCCATTATCTGATGAGTTTGTGTTTTTCCATTAACACTCCAACCATCGCCCTGCTTGTCCTTCTTTGTAATTCGGAGCATGCTTTTGTGAGACACACATGCCGGTTTCCCCGATGAGTCTTGCTGTAGCAGGGGCTCGAAGTTAGTCTCTCTTACTGACCATCTGGACACTTAACAATGGTAATAGCAGCTGGGCATGGTGGCTCACGCCTGCAATCCCACACTTTGGGAGGCCAAGGTGGGCAGATCACCTGAGGTCAGGAATTTGAGGCCAGCCTGACCAATATGATGAAACCCCGGCTCTACTAAAAATGCAAAAATTAGCCAGGAGTGGTGGCATGCGCCTATAATCCCAGCTACTCGGGAGATTGAGACAGGAGTATCGCTTGAACCCAGGAGGCAGAGGTTGCAGTGAGCCAAGATCGTGCCATTGCACTCCAGCCTGGGCAACAAGAGCAAAACTCTATCTCAAAAAATAATAATAATAATGGCAATAGCCAGGTCAACTTTGCAGTGGAGACAACATGTTGTTGAGTCCTTGAATAACATCCATCCCTGCCACCATTGTCACTTCAAATACTGGACCATTGGGCAAATCCCAAAGTGGCCAGGGAAAGAGGCTAAATGTCACTCTCAGAAGAAGCCATATTGATTATTGAGAATTTCCTCTACTTTGGTTTTCTTCTACCAGGCATTTACATGAGAAAAAAAAAGTCTTCATACTATGTCCCATTCTGAGAAGACTATCCAGATAACCTGTCTTCTAGACCCTCCTTATCATCAATCTTTCAGTTTTATTATTTCCAAGTCCCTGACCAGGTGACCCATCTGGTACCAACCCTGAGTCAGTGTCGATCTGTATCACAGGCCATCATCTCCTTCCACACAAAATAGACAACCAGAAATTCCACTTAAAGTTCTCCTCATTGAGTGGGGTTGTAGTACATTCATTGTCTACTTTCTGCCAATGCCAGAATACCATACAGAAATCCATGGGCCAGGCCTATACTCATCAAGAGGAAGTACATGGAAGTCAAAACCACTTACTAGTACAATCTAACTAAGCCCTCCAGACCTGCTGGAGCCCGATATCATATATATTTCCATCTAAAATAAAACGTTGTTATGTTTCATTTTACGGTTCAGTTGATCATATATCACACAGTTCAAGATGGGCAACTCAAATAACATAATCGTTTGGCATCCCATAGTCAGGCACATTGTGTCTACTGGAATCCAGTAGCAAGGCAAAAACTACTTTTCACAAAGAAATCCCAAAGGTTCTGTGCTGTTATTCTCCTATCAGGGATTGCCATGAGTCTCATACAGCTGCAGATACTTCCAACACATTTGAGTCTTCTGGGTCATAATGCCCAAGTGACAAGGATAGACCCCTTTCATGCTCTGTCTGCTCAAAATGTCCAGCCTTCTGAGTTATACAATATGTGGTATACTTTACCTTCAAAACACAAAGAAGTCCAACAAGAATTGTGCTTCTTTCTTTTTGTAAGGTGGTGCAAGATGCAATAACTTGCAAACAACTTTAGCTATCCCAATATGCCTTATGCTACTAGACCTCTAGAAATGTTGTTAGCACCATGAATGTTTTGGTGTTTATCTTCTACCGTCTGGCTTGCTACCTCATGTTAATCAAATCTTGTTGCATTGTGTCTTCAATGTACTGGATGAGCATGGTGTTCTATGGAATATAAAGATGATCCAGGACCCTCAGGACTGTTACGATAGATTGTAAGAGAGTTGACATAGTCCTAGGGCAAGAGAATATAAATTTACATTGTTCCTGTTTTTTAAAAGCAAATTACTTCTGATGTTTCTTACCGATTAGAACAGAAAGAAACAGCTACCAGATCAATAGCTATATACTAGGTGCCATGGGCTATGCTGATTTGCTCCAATAAAGTTATCACGTCTGGAAATAAATTTGCATCATCACCTGATTAAGTTTGCAACAATCCACTGTAATTCTTCATGACCTATTTAGCTTTTCCACCAGTCAGACAGGTGAGTTAAATGGGGAGGTGGTAGGACACCTTTTCTATATCTTCCAATTTTTCTATGGTAATGCTAATCTCTGCAATTCTCCCTACAAGACTTGCTATCTTGTTGGGAGTGAAGAAGAAGGTGTACAGTTCCAGGGGCTTCCTTACACTTGGCTCTTCCTACTATAGCTTTCATTCCATTGGTATAAGAATCATTGTAGGATTATTACATATATATCTATTCCTGGGCTGGATGTGGTGGCTCACACCTGTAATCCCAGCAGTTTGAGAGGCTGAGGCAGGCAGGTTGCTTAAGCCCAGGAGTTAGAGACCAGCCTGGGCAACATGGTGAAACCCTTTCTCTGCAACAAAATACAAAAATTAGCCAGGCATGGTGGTGCCTATCTGTGGTCTCAGCTACTTGGGAGGCTGAGGCAGGAGGATAATTTGAGCCCAGGATGTGGAGGTTGCAGTGAGCTGGGATCACGCCATTGCACTCCAGCTTAGGTGACAGAGTGAGACCTGTCTCAATAAAAAAAAAAGAAAGGCCAGGTGCAGTGGCTTACACCTGTAATCCCAGCACTTGGGGAGACCAAGGCGGGTGGATCACTTGAGGTGAGGAGTTTGAGACCAGCTTGACCAACATAGTGAAACCCATCTCTACTAAAAATACAAAAATTAGTTGGGTTTTGAGGCACGTGCTTGTAATCCGAGCTACTCAGAAGGCTGAGGCAAGAGAATTGCCTGAACCCAGGAAGTGGAGGTTGCAGTGAGCCGAGATCGCATCACTGCACTCCAGCCTGGGTGACAGAGCGAGACTCCATCTCAAAAAAAAAAGAAATCTCTCTCTCATCTTACTTCTATAAGCTTTAACGAGTAAACTATGAAGGCTTTTAAGGTTCAGAATCACTTCCTAATAACCCCCCAGAAAGTCTGGGTATTTCCCTTCCCCAACCCCACCTTACACATTCTCCCTACTTAATTGCTTCAGATCCCTCTGGCAGTGGCTTAGGGAAACTGTCATGGTATACAATTTGGCCACGTTTCAGGTTACTTCCTCATAGGAACCTGATGTCCCCTCAGTTGAGGAGCTTTAAGTCTGGAAACCAGG